CGTCTACACTGGCCCCTTTTCCGGAAGGAGCATGTAAATTTCATGAGTCGTAGCAGGGAAATGCGCGGGGGATTTAAATATCCCCCGCGGCATTTAAATAAAAATGTCCGCCGCTTTTTTCCGGCTTTTAAAAAAGCCGGAAAAGAGCGTCTACACTGGCCCCGATCCTCCGGAAAAAGCGCCCTTTTCCGGAGGCTCTTATTCCTACTTCAAAGATTTCCCTACTACGATAGGTGAAATTTACATGCCCCTTCCGGAAAAGGGGCCAGTGTAGACGAGCCCTATGTGTTTTTGAGTGTGCAGTCAGTGATTCAGGAACAAAGGCCCAGCACCCTGTCACCAGCCAGGTCTGTTACCATACTTACATGGTATGGCCACCCTGTCCACCGCCAACTGTTCCAGCACCAGAGTCGGCACGGTTGTCCAGGGAGGCCATACCATGTAAGAATGGAATTTGGTGGGTAAGCCAGAGCCCCAGGAGAAAACGTTAGGTCCCTTTATGACTCAAGAGTTGGAGCAACCGATCCCGAATCTGTCTCGTCTTCACCCCGTAGATGATGGGGTTCAGCATGGGGGGCACCAGGAGGTACACGTTGGCAATGAGAATGCGGAAATGCTGGGCCACGTTCTGGCCAAAGCGATGTGTGAGGAAGGAGAAGAGAGCGGGGATGTAAAAAGCTAAGATGGCAAAGAGGTGGGAGCCGCAGGTCCCAAAAGTCTTAAGTTGGGCGTCCTTTGTGGGGAGCCTGAAGATAGCTCTGAGGATCTGAGTATAGGACACAGATATAAAAAACACATCCAGACCAGTCACAAAGAAAGCCACAAAGAGGCCGTAGTAACTACTGATGCGGATGTCACCACAGGCCAGCTTCACCACGGCAATGTACTCGCAGTGTGTGTGGGGGATGATGTTAGTTAGGCAATATGGCCACCATCTTGCTAGGAAGGGTGTGGGCAGTACGAGAATGCTGCTGCGTATCACCACAGCCAGGCCGATTTTGGCCACCACAGGGTTTGTGAGGATGGTGGAATGTCGCAGGGGATGGCAGATGGCCACATAGCGATCCAACGCCATGGCCACGAAGATCCCAGACTCAATCACTAAAAAGCAGTGCATGAAGTACATCTGGGTGAGGCAGGAACTAAAATCGATCTCCTTGGAATTGAACCAGAAGATGCTCAGGGTTTTTGGCAGGGTGGATGTAGACAGGACCAGGTCGGTGACAGCCAGCATGCAGAGGAAATAGTACATGGGCTCATGGAGGCTCGGTTCCCTCTTCACAATGAAGAGGATGGTGAAGTTCCCCAAGACAGCTGTGGCATACATAGTGCAGAAGGGGATGGAGATCCATGCATGGACGGCATCCCGGCAAGGAATGCCCTGCAGGATGAAGATGCTGACATGGAGTAGGGAAGATGGGTCCAACTCGGAAGCAGAATGGTGTCTCCTGCATGTACCGTATGTTCCTCTGCCTTCCTATACGTGCCCAGTTTTTGGGGTGACAGTCGCAGTACAGCTGCCTGAATGGAAAGACAATGTTAACATGAGATTCTACAGTACCGGGGGCTGGTCTCATAGGTGCGAAAAATTGGCTGCTCTTCAAACTGGAAAATGACATTTTCATTATTCAGATAAATGAATGATGAACACATGATCGTGCTAAGGGAAAGGCCCTGTTGAATGGTGTTTCACACAGCAGTCATTCCTGCACATCATCATGTGGAAATGTTAATAGGTCTCGGCTTAAGACACGGGAGTGGGTATTCATCATTTTTCTTTCATGGAATGAAATCCAGGCCAACAGGCCAAGCTTAGGGATTTCCGCATAGGCATGGTTGCACCACATCTGACAGTGGAAAAGGCCCCAACCTTTGCCAAGACACATGCTAGATGGAACTGTCCTAAACAGAACGGCATCTGAGAGAAAAGACCAGGGCTTCCATATCAGCTGTTACATTTAAATACCTGCTTGTTTGCTGTGGTGGCCAAAACAAAGACAATGTGCAGATACAACAAAAATGATGAAAGGTCTAGAAGACATGAGCTATGAGGAAAGACTGAAAGAATTGGGTTGGTAACATTTAGAAAGGAGACGACTGAGAGGGGACATGAGAGGAGCTTTCAAGTACCTAAAAGTGTGTTACAAGGAGGAGGGAGAAAAATTGTTCTCTTTGGTCTCTGAGGATAGGACAAGAAGCAATGGGCTTAAACTGCAGCAAGAGAGGTTGAGGTTGGACTTTAGGGTCAGGGTGGATAAACACTGGAATAAATTGCTTCGGAGGATTGTGGCATCTCCATCCCTGGAGATATTTAAGAGCAAGTTGGACCGGCACCAGTCAGACCATGCTTAGTCCTGCCGTGAAGGCAGCGGACTGGACTTGATGACCACTCAAGGTTCCTTCCAGTTCTAATGTTTTATGAGTCTATCAAGGTTGTTTCCCACTCTGAGACTTTATTTGTGGTATCTGGAGAGCAGTCAAAGACTTTACAAGCTTGTTATTGTCTTTTTGCTTAGCTCAAGACTGTTCCCCACTCTGACACTCCAAATGCACACGAGAACTCCAAAACCTACTTCCCCCCAAATTCTAATACACAAATTTTGGGGAATTTGCTGCCACCATCAAGTGCTTTTTGAACCCTAACAAAACCCAGGGATGAACACTTGAAACCACCCTCTGGGGTACCCCAAGCTCTTTTGCCCCAAAAGAGCTTGATAAAGAAAAGAGAAAAACAAGCGGCAGTCTCTGGTAGCTGACCCCTCAGTCGGAGACATGCAGATACACAGACAAACCTTCCGGGACACATGAATCAAATCATTAATGACTTTTATTACAAAATGAAAGATAAACTGGAGAAAGCATGAGTCGTTGCTAGATGTACAGCGCAACTAAGGAAACCAAATTTAAAAAGCAGAGAAAAGTCTTGACACAATGCTTAGATGGTAATTAATTGGGCAGGGGCGTCAGAGATTCACACAGAGCAGTTCAAACCAAACCATGGGCGGGGTTGCGACTGCTCTGGAGGATAGGGTCATAATTCAAAATGATCTGGACAAATTGGAGAAATGGTCTGAGATAAACAGGATGAAGTTTAATAAAGGCAAATGCCAAGTGCTCCACTTAGGCAGGAACAATCAGTTTCACACACAGAGAATGGGAAGCGGCTGTCTAGGAAGGAGTACGGCAGAAAGGGATCTAGGGGTCATAGTGGACCACAAGCTGAGTGAGTCAGCAATGTGATGCTGTTGCAAAAAAAGCAAACCTGATTCTGGGATGCATTAACAGGTGTGTTGTGAGCAAGACACGAGAAGTGATTCTTCCGCTCTACTCTGCGCTGGTTAGGCCTCAGTTGGAGTATTGTGTCCAGTTCTGGGCACCACATTTCAAGAAAGATGTGGAGAAATTGAAGAGGGTCCAGAGAAGAGCAACAAGAATGATGAAAGGTCTAGAGAACATGACCTATGAGGGAAGACTGAAGGAATTGGGTTTGTTTAATTTAGAAAAGAGAAGATTGAGGGGGGACATGATAGCCGTTTTCAGGTATCTAAAAGGGTGTCATAAGGAGGAGGGAGAAAACTTGTTCAGCTTGGCCTCTGAGGATGGAACAAGAAGCAATGGGCTTAAACTGCAGCAAGGGAGGTTTAGGTTGGACATTAGGAAAAAGTTCCTAACTGTCAGGGTGATCAAACACTGGAATAAATTGCCCAGGGAGGTTGTGGAATCCCCATCTCTGGAGATATTTAAGAGTAGGTTAGATAAATGTCTATCAGGGATGGTCTAGCCAGTATTTGGTCCTGCCATGAGGGCAGGGGACTGGACTCAATGACCTCTCGAGGTCCCTTCCAGTCCTCGTATTCGATGATTTTATGATTACCCTCATCGCTACTGGACTCACATTTCCCTGGTACTCACTTCTAAATTTCTCTTTGTTCAGTCCTCTCCCATTGCCCTGAATTCCTCGGCGAGATGGTAGTTCTGCCTGGGTTTAAATCATTCTGTCTCTCACAACTCTTGGTTTCTCTCTCCCCCACAAAGAAGGCAGGCAAGGAACTTATATCCAATTCAAATGTCAACACTCTGTCTCCTGGCCCCCTGGCCAACACCTTTGCTAGGTACCTGAGTTAACCCCTTAGTCACCGGGTGCTGGTCAGCACTCCCCCTGTTCATGATAGAGTCTATGATTCTGTGCAAAGGAATGAGTCAGAGAAGACACTGCCCTGAATATGTGCCCAGTTTTGGTCACCCAGGGTACAGCTAGACTGCAAGGATCTTTCAGAAAAAGATAAGAAAATGCGCTCTGCGTTCTGAGTATCTTTTTCTGGTACTTTTGTAGGAAGAGGCTTTTCCAAAATCTGGCCCGTCTAGACTGGCCCAAATTTCAGAAAAAAGCCCTCTTTCTGAAGTCCCCTTCTTCCTCGTGGACCGAGGAACACAGGGGCTTCCGAAAGAGTACGTTTTCTCTTCCACACAAAAAAAGCGGAAGAGCAAACAAATTATCTGGATGCGGCGGAGTTTTTTTGGGATATCTCTGGGATCCAAAAAAACCCCCGCAGTCTAGCCACGCCTCCCGTCTCTAGAAAGGATAGTGCAAAGAGGGGGAGGGTTTCCGTGCCAGGCTGACAGTGTGAAGGAGGATGTGATAAGACAGACTGAAGGGTTTGGGAATGTTGAAAGAAAAGACAAAGTGGGAGGGGGGGAGGTCATCAGTTAGAGGAGAAAAAAATTAAAAAATGGGAAGGGATTATATTCCAATGGAGAGAAAACAGTTCCCAAGCAGTAACATATATAGACGGAGGCAAATTATCAGCAACACAGAGGCAACTTATCAGCAAAACGGATTGGGGAAAACAATTTATTCCAGGGCATGAGAATACAAATAGGGTGTTCTTTAAGAGGAATTTATTAGATAGTTAGGAATCCTCAATTCCACAAACAAGGTGCAACTTTGGCTAAAAACCCAACACAGTGGTAACGACCGTTAGCAAAAGGGTGGGGGAGAATATGGAATTAATGGGATGAGTGGAAAATAACAAGCTATTTATATAGGAAAGTATTAAAATTGGCCAGGGCTGTAAAAAAACAACGGGGAAAAACACATACTCGGCAGGACGAAAGATAAAATAAAAGTGGTTTTTAAATATGTTAAGAACAAAATAAATGTGATGAAAAACTTTCCGGTCTATTAGCAGTCATGGAGGATGTAAAAAGCTTGTACAGTGGAACATTAGAGTTATGAAGAAGAGAATTACGAACTGGCCGATCACTCACACTCTCATTCGGGAGCAGAAGAATACAATAAGGCAAGCGCAAAGCCATTTTTAAACGGGAAATACCTGACAGATCTCTGCTAACTGTAAGTAAGATGGTTTATTAGATGATGAGCTTTCGTGGGCCAGACCCACTTAGGGAAATACCTGACTGATCTCTGCTAACTGTAAGTAAGGCATAAAAATGGGAAAATAATAAAAATGATTTGACAAGGTCAGAAAACAATGGAAAAGCCGGTATGGGATTAGTTAAAAAAAAAAAAAAAGGCTTAATTAATGCCAGTCAGCCACAGGGTTTATGGAAAACAGGCCTTGCCAGTTTCATCCTTTATTGAAAGTAAACTTTTGGCTGTTAAAGGGAACTTGGCCGATGCAATAGAATATGATTTCTTAGAGGCATTTGAATTACTAAGCTAAAAAAATGCAATACTATGTAATATGAGCAGAGAGGTCGGAAAATCGACCAAACACCGGTTGACTCACGGATCTCTGAAAACAATGGCCAGTGGAAAATAGGGATGTATCCACTGGGGTCAAGCGGGGATCAGTGGTAGGCCAGATGCTCACCATTATTTCGATGAATGATGTGGAAGCAAAGATAAAATGGCCGACGATAAAATCTGGCTATGTTCCATGGATCGGCGGAGGGGTTAGAATGAGCTGGCCGGGGCCAGCTCACCGATGGAGCTAGAACATTGTAACAGAGCCACACGAAAAGTTGTCCCCTCAGAACAGGTAATGCAGGCCTGGTCCACTGACTGGGACACATGGTCCACGTGGACCCAGGAACCCGGAAAGGGATTTAGGTATAGTTGGGGCCAACCAAACCATCATGCGCGTGAACTGGGGAGTGGTGAGTTGGAGCAGAGGAAGGGTTTTATCTCAGCCCCGGCGTAGGTGGAACCATCCATATTCAGGCGGGGGGCATATTTTGAAAAGGACGTTGAAAAACAGGAGAGGAGACAGAAAAGAGACAAACAGAGAGACTCAG